ATGTTGTCGACGGACTTCAGATCACAGCATGAGTAATTACAGCACCTTTCAACTAGAATTATTCTTAGTCCCCGAAAGCTTCCGTATGAAAAAACTTGTGAGATGCTCGGACTCTACACACTATCCTACCGCCGAGTACGAATTGACCTCATTATGACCCGTCGAATACTACACTTGAATCACTTTCCCATACTACGGCCAATGTTTCGCCTGCGGGAACCCTGTAACACTCGCGGACACCGTTCCAAACTCAGCGTCCCATGCATGAACAGAGTACCACATCAACTTTGTATAGAACCAAGAATAGTAAACTTATGGAGTACACTACCAGAAGGAATAGTAGAGGTCGATTCTGTGAAATGTTTCAAAACAGGTATCGACGGTTATTTCAGAAACCTGTGCTTTTGTGAAACGGTGGACATACATTGCAAAAGAATACATCATGTACCCGTAACTAATGACACCAGTATGAACTCCTATTCGGACAAAGATAAACGATTAACTAACCAAACACCGTCGCTGACAATCCGCAATTAAGTATTTTTGATTTTCCCTTATTCGAGAGTTGTACAGAAACGTTCCTACCTTATATACAGTATCAGCGTGAGAGTGCACTTTGATCCTTTACTGAGCTTGTGGGATGCAGTGGTTGGCCGAATAGACCGCACATGCTCCCATTACCATCCTTCCCTAGACTCATAGTTGATGACTGAGTTGACCGGCAGCTCAGCTTCTACGGACCACAGGGACAGACGGTTGAGGTCCTGCTGAAGGGACGCCACAATCGCCAGGAGAATCAACAACCCTCTATGTTTTCAGGTCGTCTGCAAACAATGCAAAGGACCATCGAAGAAGCTGAAGTATTTCGTTTATGTGGATCAGAAACAAAGTGGGTCCTGGTACTGTGCCTTGGAGTGCGCCGCTAGTGGAGGGGTGCAATTCCGTTCGGTGGTCTTCCATATATACCCGCCGTCTTATCCCAATACGGAAGTCACTGATCCACTGGTGCAGTGCGCCACCAACATCACACATCCTCAGCTTGTGGAGTAGGACCTCACGGTTCAATTCATCGAAAGCTTTGATGAAATCAGCGTAAATAATATCTACTGATTTCTCGCGGTTCAACTCTTGCGATCATCCGTGCCGCATCAACAGCAGGTTAGTGATGCACAAGCGGCCATTCATGAAACATTGCTTGCGGGCGTTAGGTCTTTCGACTCTAACAGCTGGAGAACACCTTTTTCACAGTCTTCTCAGGCATCTTCGCCAAAACAGAGGGCAGACAAATCGGCTGGTAATTGTCCACATTGCGTGGAATCGGCTTCATTCCCGATCATTTCCAGTCGCTGGGCAATGCACTTTCAGACAACCATCTGTTGAGCAGGTCAGTCACCGCAGGCGAGATGATGGCCGATGGGACATTAGACTTAACCGATAGAGTCCGTCGGGTCCAACGGGCTTCGTCCCTTCAAGACTGGCGAGTGGTGTGCGAACATCTTCCACATCGCAGTCTAGGCACTCGTGTTCCGTAGGAGCTTCGCGCGTCGACTTCGACAAATGCGCATGCTCATCTGTAACTGCAGAAGCGAAGTGCGCCGACAATATTGACGCAGCTTCAGTGCTGGAAGTCATAGCTTGTCTGTCCAAACCTCCTAACACTGCTAGGTCACTTGCGGACCTCAGGTGTCGCTTCACGTAAGCAAAAATCATCTTGGGGGCTGAATTCGCTGATGTTGCGAGCATCTCTTCGAACTGTCGACGCTTTCGTTTTTTTTCTCTGTCACATAGATTCCGTTGCTTCTTGTAGGCCTCATAACCATCGATAGAGCCAGACACGAGCAATTCATTCCATAATACACGTCGCCGTCGAACTAATTGGCCATACTCGAACCAATATTGCTTCATTGGTCCAGCTTTTCTGTATTTGTGGGATACAAAACTAGCGCACCACGATTGTACACCGTTTTTTATAACCGACTAACTGTCTACAACAGATAACTCCTGCTTTACCGACCAGTCCACTCCATTGGCGGCTTGATTGAGACGATCGAAGTCGGTCTTCCAATAATTGTTCGACGGCTCCGGCAGACGCAATTAGGGCTGCGGCAGCTCTAGGCAGGCTGAGACCATCCAATGGTCGCTAGTTGCCAGAGACTCCAGGACCTGAATATCATATACACGTTGCTCGCAACTAGTTAATAATAGGTCCAAGCACGATGGAGCGGAATGCGGTGTAACGCGCGTCATTTGGCAGTCGTGTTGTGTTGCCCTAGTCTCAGCTATCATCTCTAAAAATTACACTTCGATTTCACAGTGCCCGGTGAGGACTTGGGCCTTAGGTCACAGTCTTCGAGGGAGGTTAACTTCGCTCATAAGCTGAAAGCGGGGCCGCCTCTTGTAGCTTCTGACATGCGATAAACAATGATTTGTGTTCAACTTCCCTCTCCTGTCCGCCCACGCAGGCAATCCTTCGTTCACTCATCGCACGGACCGCAATCAGGAGTTTGAGTGACTGTAAAACCCTCGATTAACCACCAGATCTAAGCACCAGTTCGCTAGCATGTTGGATTGTGGCGAGATTAACGTTTACACCTGGGAGTGAAATCATTTGAGGTTGGTTATTGTATGCAAGTAATGATACGTAAATGCAACCGTAACTCTTAGTTCTACATCGTGCTTTGAACAATTTAGGATAGGTCATTATGAGTAATTCAACATTATGGCCCAAAAAAATGACCTCAGAGCTGTAACTGAAGGAAAGGATTAGTCTGTTACATTTTCTGAAAAGCAGTAGCCAAAGAAAGACAGCAGAGCCCTTTGGTGTTAGCAAAACAGCACTTCGCAACATCCAAAGACATAAACACAAATGCTTGGTGAGATACGAAAACTAACTAGGGGATCTACAGCGGAAGGGGCGGAAAACTTCACACGATGAAATGAATGAGGCTACGCTGCGTCGGTTCAAACAAACGGAAGCAACTAACGCTCGAATTTCTGGGCTGATGATTCAAGAAATTGCTAACAATTCGTCACAAGTATTTGGGGTTTGCCGATTTCCAGACATCCAATGGTTGAAGAAATTTAAGCTCCGATATGAAATTTCTCAGTTTTGTGTGGTAAATCTGTTGTAGTGCCTGGGGAGTTTGTTCAAGACTTCATCGAAACATTTTCCAACTTCAGCAAAGGCTTCAACAGTGACGCCATTTTTAACGCTGACAATTACGGTCTCTTTCTCAAGGTGATGCCTAACTGAAGCCTGGTTATATAGGGTGACAAATATAAGGGCGGAAAACATCCCAAAGAACGTTTCACGGATCTGTTGTGCACTAGTTAAAGTAGGGGAAATCTAAAGCCTCTGGTCATTGCTAACTCAATTAGACCAAGTGCGTTTTAAAACCTAACTCCTGAATACCCTCTAGTCACCTGGAGATCAAACCGATCGGCGTGTATGACTGCTGTCATCTTAAGGAGTGGATCAGTAGCATCGACAAAGACTTGACGAAGAAGAATCACTTCATTATCCTAACAGTAGACAACTGTCCTGGTCACACCCATGTAAAAACACATTACTTTTAAGTTTCCGCCTCCAAATATGACCTCACAAATTCAACCTCTGAACCAAGGGACCAACGAAATATTCACCATGCACTACCGAGCCCACCTCATGCAATAGGCTATGGTAAAATTGCATACTAATGATTCTCATGCGGAAGGAACTTCATCTGTTGCTTCAATTAATGTCTTGGATACTGTGCCTGATATATCGGCGGGTGGCCGAGTGGTTGGCACGTTTGCTTTCCAACCATAAGGTCACCGGTTCGAATCCGCGTAGGGGTGGGCGTCCTCGCGGTATACTCAGCCCGCGCGCGACTGGTGGTGGTCGCGCGGCAGCGAAGCGCCGTTACGGCGTATAAGCTGACACAATGTGCCTGATATGGCGTGGCTCGAAACACAAGAGTAAAACTTATTTATTTTATTTATAAAGATTGGTTCCCAGTTCAGCCAGAAGTATTACAGAGAAGCCAGATTTGTTAACTCTCTCGAGCGGAATGTCGTCACCTTATTATCCATTCCATCTCTATTGTCAGAATTCGAGAGAATAATTTCCAACGAAATTGTCGAAATAGATGGTGGCTTAGTAACTCGCACTGAACCATACCCAGATGCTATTTTCCAAGAGATATTGACTGCGGTACGCCCCTACGGAGGCAAAGAACAAACGCTTGATGGTGCTGAAGAAGGACTGAGTGACGATGATTTGGAAACCACAGAAACTCCAAAAGAAGATTAAATCCTACATCTTTTGATGCAACTGAAATCATTTGCTGTGCACTTGTGCTGAGAGCGCTTTTCTCATTTATCTTTGTGATAAGTGGAAGACGCAAAATCAAATTTTTCTTCAAAGAATGCTTTAACTTCAGAATGCACATTGCGTTTTGATTTATTATAGCACTGTATGGTTTAACTGCATTTGTCGTTGTGTGAGACCTTGCCCAATGTGTCCGAAACCGGCTTTTGTGAAAATAGCTTTCGTACCATTCTACTCACAACAATAAAGTAGGTTTCGCTGATTTGGTAGAGTACCTCTCTAAACTGACCACTTTGATCCAGTCCTTTGGATAGTCAACTTACAGAGGTTCTACTTTAATTGGCACTTCGCACTCTGCTACACTGTACTGGCCAAAGGTCACTTCATCTGTTAATGCCTTCAGTTTCTGTGCGATGTAACCGTCTTAGACAATGATTTTCAAAGTTGCACACCTTCCCACCTGAATTTCTTATGTGCACCTTAAATCCCGTTTTATATCTCACTTCTCGGATTGTTAAGGTTCAGTTACAGTCCGAGTCTTTTGTTAAATATTTCGATGTTTACCATAGACCTACCGGGGCAATCTGTTCCGATGTACATGCTCCGACCTTGGAATTCTACTTATTCATTCGATCGTTTCTGTGGCTCCACACTGGCGTACATTTCCATATACTCTTCACATTATTCATAGGCGTTCAACTAATGCGCCCTTCGAACAAGGTCCGAAGTCCACTTGGCGAACATTACAACCTTCTGAGCTGCTTATTGGCATGTGAGTCTTTTCTTATTTGCTGTTTGGTCTGTTTACAACCGAGCCCATGTGTAATAGTCGCCTGAATCACTAGAGAACCAAAAATGACTTGTTTTCACCCCTTCGTTTCCTGTGTCTTGATCTCACCGATCGCTTTACTATGTGCTTTTCGCATCGAGAATTTGGCTGTCACTGTTTTGCATATATCAGCAAACTCACAACTGGTCAACCCGTGTTATGTCGCAAGGGTGGTGAAACTTGGTTCCCCGGACGTGTCGCATTATGCCTACCACAACCCGCAGGATTAGGGTCAGACGATTGTCGAACCGGGACCGCGAATGGAGGGGGAAATTCTGCCTTCTATAAAGTCAATTTGGATGCGGCTCCTGGCAGCAAATCAGAGCAATGCAATGCAAACCCAGCCTCGCTGGCTATCGCTGTCTCGGCCTTCGACCTCAAGCAAAGGTACCCTGTTGGTGCACGGGTTGTGTGTAAGTGCAATATTTTCTCATTGGATTCCTTTTCTTTCATTCTCGTATATTCGTGGGACTGTTCCTTAGGCTATGCCTCCTAACTACTCCTGCAGTTAGTGTTTTTTTAGCATACAACGCATCCCTGGTTTTTCGACTCTACTTACCCGAGACACAGTTTTCTAAGAACACTTATGCTATTCAGAACGCTGGTCATAGTTGTTAGATCACGTTTTCTCGCTATCCCGAATTAAACACCCAAAAATTCTCCGCGAAAACTCTAACCAAACCGAAGAAAATCAGAAGTCTGACGTGCTTGACCGCGGAAAACGTTTAAAAAAACGCCGCCAAACGTAGCCAAAACGTCGCCAAAACGCTGTACAACTACTCCAGACCTACGCCAAATAGGTATTTCAATGGCCTTCGGCTTCTAAAAAAACACAGGTTAACTGGTAACAATAGCAGCATCCTTGCCAAAACTCCGTATGTTGGCAATTATGTGAAGGAACGGAGGGTTCCGGAATCTCCTAAATCCATGCACAATCGAAGATAATCGATTAATTGCTAAAATGATGGGTTTTCCTTGCTGCTTTTACCGTTTCCCGGATAATGGTGTTAATCTTCCATCCTTTTTTCATGTGCCATCTTCATTGGCTCGAATGCTGCGACTAATCTGATAATCAGTCTCCAGTTTATCAGTTGTAAGAATTTCTATTGTGACCTCAAATACAGCACTTGGTGCCAACCCATACTCAACCGTCATGAATGTGATCACCAGCAAACTTTATGTGGTTTCTGGTTTATGTTTGCCTGGTTGTGACAAAATGACTCAGCGGCGGAACTCGATTGATCGCTGGTTTTACATGTCGGCCCTGATTTTCAGGCTTCGGATACTTGTAGCTGCACAGTTTATGTAGCTATCGATTCCACTGATTGGGATTGACTAGATCTTCTTCGGGAATAACACGCGGTTCTGATTTCATTGTCGTCCACTGTTTGGATACAACCTTTGTCCTTCCCATTTTGCGAATGTGATCATTACAATCAATTCATCCTCTTGACTGGTGACACGAGTCCCGTAGCCTGAAGGATCACAAGCCTGCCTTGTAATCCAACGGCGTGGGTTCGAGCCTGCGTAAGGGACCGGGTGACCCTCGCAGTATTCCTTGCCCGCATGCCACTGGTGGTGGTTGCGCGTCAGCGAAACGACGGTACTGCGTACCGGCGTACTGCTGTTGCCTTGACTGGTGACACGCCATTGTCAATAGCGCGTGTTACATACACGACTGGCCACAGCACTGATCGCGCAAAAACAGCTTAGTCTCCTCCAACAGCGGGCCATTTTTACAGAAGGGCACTGGGGCTTGTATTTGGCGTATTATTGATATTATTAGTTGCCGGGGTCCCTTTTTAGATTTGATTTCCAATGTGTACGCCTACCTTCAACAGCGGTGCACTGCACGCGCTCTTCTAATCAGACTAACCGCGTGTACCGATCTATGGTGCGTCATAATCCGCGCAGATGCTTTGCCTTTCCACTCGCCTCAACGCTTTTTGACGTGGCTCTCTCTGGCTTACCAGGCCGGCTCTGTTGAAGTGCACGTAGCTGCTTCCACCAAAGCACTGTGTGGACGACGACGATGACTGGTTGCTAGTTATTTGCATCCACCGGTTGTGCTCCGTGCCTTTTGATTCCCTTTTGCTTTGCACTTTTGCGTGTATGTACGCGACGACATTCTCTCTGTTCCTGTATTACTTTCAGGCGATAGATCACTGTTCTGTCTTAGTACCTATGGGTTCGGAACAGAATCATCAGTTTCAGTAGTTTTCGCCGTCAATGACCACGGGTACTCGCGCATGCAAAGGGACTATAAGTGATTGCACTAACCTTCACATGAAGGCCTCATTCTTACGTTCCACATCTAGTGGAAACTCGAAGCAGTAACGGTGGTAATCATGCAGATGAACGACGCTTTTCATTTAGAACTGGCACAGTCTCTCTACATGCAAGCCCATGCTGTAAATTTGTGGGAACCTATGTACCAGATGTAGGCATATTAGTGCTTAGCTCTGGTCCGTCCCCCTATTGTGCACAACACGGTTTCGAAAACTAGGCACTCCGTTCTCATTCAGCAGCAATTGGAAGGCTTCTGGAGCTGATAGTAGGGTTATCCTTATGGAACAAATATGCGTATTAGTAACACTCACATGGAGCCATTTTTTCATACATTCGGCACTCGCCGACAGTTCTCCTCTCTTCGATCTTGTTTGACGCTCGCCACACTAGGCACACATACTCATCTGGCCACAAATTACCCTGTGAAACTTTATCGGATTTTGACGGAGTTTCTGTGTTAAGGAAGTGAGATGGATTATATATAGGTCATCGCGCGTTCTTACGACAGCATGTCATTCTTCTATGCAATATCGCAGGTAGTTTGTCATGTTGTTTACGGGCATCCATCGTTAGTCAAGTGCTTGGTTTTGTGTTTCCATTAATCGACTCGTGGTCGGCCGGTGGCCGAGTGGTTGGCACGTTTGCTTTCCAACCATAAGGTCACCGGTTCGAATCCGCGTAGGGGTGGGCGTCCTCGCGGTATACTCAGCCCGCGCGCGACTGGTGGTGGTCGCGCGGCAGCGAAGCGCCGTTACGGCGTATAAGCTGACACATTTCACATTTCATTACTCGTGATCTCGGGCCGTTGCACACATAGTAACCACTTTATTCGGTTTACTTGCGTGGAAATTTTTTCGATCATAATTTGGCTATGAATCGTTTCAAGCTTTTGCATGCCACTCCCAATGTGTTCCTCCCCAAACTATCTGATGAACCGGAGGCTAGATGCACGACACCACGAAATTGCTTTTTCAGAATGGGTAACAGGATAGTATCATCTACTTCCAAAACGCAGTCTCCGATACTCTTCTCCTCTTTGATCCTTACTGCTTTTCTCTAAATTCTTCTGACCAAAAGCGAGACGTTGCCACGCGTGTAAAAAAACGAGTTACAGCCGAATTCTCCCGAACTTTTAACGACCGATTTATGTTCAAACTTAGGAGCGTGTCATCTTTCAACTCGGGGTTACTACAGTGGATCCGCACATTGTATCAGATAGGCCAACAGACACTGATCGTTTTAGCTTTACTCCGAGTTGATGTATACTGTATCTTCGAATCACGCGTACGGGACAACAGTGTCCCAAATTATTTAACCAAGGTAAGCGCAGATAAGACTTTCAAATTTCCACTCTCCCGTGATGCTTGCGGGGTCTACGGCGTCTGGGTCGCTCTAACTAGAGGTGCAGTGACATCTAAAATAAATCACATTGACCAACCGCATGTATATTGCTCGACTCTGATGCTCCAACGGAGTCGACAAGCGGTAACCTAAGGCAGGACGCCATTTTGTTGTTTCTTCTGACAACACCACCTAACTCAACCAAGATCCGTCAACGATGAATCCCACAGGCAGCTGTGATCTCACCTTAATTGCTTCCAAACTTTTGACCTACATCCTCGGTGAGGGTTAGACTGGCTTCCATTCTTCATCAGGTATTCAAATGGCACAGTGCGTGCACGTAGCTAATCATGGTAGCCTTCTTTGTCTTGATTCGGGTGATCGTGCATGCTTATAGCACGGCCCTACTCCGAGCTAGATTGCCTGAGCAGTTTCGCTCTATTCTAAATTCATACAATTACTCTACGGGAACATCTCCATGACAAATGTATTACATCATGGCTGCTTTATCTCTTCCTCCACAACTTTGTACTCACAATGCTTGTGAATGATTTCACCCCGCTTGTATCACTTATGGGTAGGTGTTCTGTTAAGTGAGCGACTGTCAGACTAGGAATAAACGAGCGGTATTACTTTTTGGATCGGACCCAACTGTTGTGCGAGCGCTGGTACTAGGCGGACACGTCGCGACACACGCTTCGATATGTGCGTTGTACCTCCGGACTGTAAGGTTTAACTACTAGACGGAGCGACCGAGTTTTCACGCTTGTGAGAGAATCGCTCGACGCGGTTGATCTGTTTACTTTTTAGGTAGCTGCATCATCAATCTGGTCACTCTGTATATTGCTAAAGCTGACGTGTCTTCCAGTGCCTCCGTCGGTGGGTCTAAGCCTGACTGTTGAAGAAGGGGTTTGTGTCGCCGTGGGGCGACCAGTGTACTCCACAGTTTCAGTGGCCTGGCCCCTACACACTGACGCACATCGTTTGCTAGGTACCCTATTGAATATGGTGCAATCGCGAAGTTAGTAACGCCAATGCACTTATCCACCTATTTCTTGCCCATCCCTCTTAAACCATTGGCGTTTGTGTTACCATTTGAAACACTCTTCAACTTGTTAGATGCAACTAACTGCTCTCAGCCATCGTTATTGTTATTCGGTTGGCGATGTGTATCTTGGTAACTGGATTCATTGCGCCCTAGTGCACGAATCATAGTTGGGAAACTGGACTGATGTGAAACCACCGTGCCCCATTGTTACGTTGCTCATTCCTCCCACATTGGTTGTTCATTCTCGCACTTGTGTATTAACGTGCATTCCACTGCTTAAAAACTCCGTGATCCGTGACCCACTTTGTTCACTTATCTTTTCCTTAGCTATTTACAGAGACGAGAATAATGGCATCGGCTATTATTCCGGTTTGATCGCCGAACCGCCCAGTGAAAGGAATGATCATCGGTATGTCTTTGCACTTTTTGCCATGAGTATTTTTTACCCTTAGATATTTGCTCTTCTTCGACGACGGCTACACGCAATACTCTCCTCCAACCGAGATTTACCGCATATGCTATCAGTGTAAGTGTGTTTTTGCCTACGAGCAACTCTCATCCCTGTGCAGCCAAGGAGAATTGGCGAGAGGCCAGTGAAGGTTCGCAGGAATTCATCAAACGATACTTGGCGCAGTATCCTCAGGTTAGCTCTTTTATTTCCTTATGTTCCCGCGCCTGCACTTTACGGTAGCGAATCGTGATATGTGGCCTCTGTTTTTCTCGATTTTCATTGGTGCAACGGTGTCAATCCGATTCATCTTGGTAGTTTCATGACTGTTTTTTCCTCCAGCGCCCAATGGTTCGTCTCAAGCCAAGTCAAACAATCGAGACTGAACTAGATGGCAAGTGGATACAGGCCATCGTTGACAAGGTGGACGCCAGCCTTGCTCTCATCCGTTTTTCACCCACCCACAGTGAATGGATTTACCGTGGCTCAACTCGGTTGGAACCGCTTTTCTCTGATTTGGTCAGTGGTATTTCATCATCGTTCTCCTCTTGTTGGAACTATGTTCTTAGTCTCCTCGATTAGCACAGCTTTTATGCGATTTTTTGGCAGGTTAGCATTGCTACATCCTCTGCACACAGTGATCCGAAGCTCTCCTCTTTACCCCATGCTCTGCACAGGAGCTTCGTTTCACTTTTTCACTATCTATCCACCTCTCCATCTTCCTTATGTTATTACCTTTATATCGAATGTGCCTCCACCAGAATGCCCGCGCGTCAACTTACGATTGCATTCTAGTTTTTGTTCCTACGGCTGTTCAAAGTGGATACTTCCTGATACTTCACTGAAGTTCCCTCCAATCCACGTGCTTGATAAACGTATTGGGTTATTTGTGCTATCGTTATTTTTTAATTTCTTGCTGGAGCGTTTGTATAAGTTTGTCTGTTCAAATCTTGTTTCAATAGCTATGACTTTTCCTGATAGCCAAGTCAAATCAAAATAGACTAAATACACCCGGGGGGACACATTTCAGCATTTCACACTATTACTGCGGATGGAAAAGTACATAAAATGAATGTATAGAAACAAGCAGGAACTACTGTTCAAAGTGTCTACACATTTACTGACGACAATACAATCAACGGTGACCTCTAGACAATCCATCTCATCTAGAACTACGACCGTGCAAACAATGTCTAATATTTCTCAAGTAATCCAGGTAAAATTACAAGGGAACAGTAAAACTAGTGTGACAGGATGCGTGCATTCACGAAATGAAAAATCAACTCGATGTCCCTAATTTATTTTAAGTCTAAAGAGATAGAAAGATAACTGAGCCCTGTAGAACGTTTCGGTGACATGAGTAGACCGTGATAGGTTTCGGTGTATAATGATTCCCATTTGACGTCTTGCGTATGAATTGGTCACTTAGTGCCAGTGAAAAAGTGACATGCAAGACAGCTTATCAACCCAAAGAGAATATTACATTACAACATTTAGCAGTTTTCATAATTATAAACCGGGTCGCAACCACACCACAAACTTTCCAGACCACGCTGAAGAGTATAAGATGCCTCTCCGGTAAGAGCAATATATCCGGAAGCGACACCATCAGCATCTTTGCATTCAATAAAGTAGGACGGTAAATGATGTTTTTAATTTATATGTAGAAAATAGAGGGGAAAGATAACCGCTGCCTGAGCAAGGTGTAGATGACTTTGTTCCGTTAAGCCGGTTGAAGTGGACGCGGTTAGGAAACCAGTATTTAATTACGCTGCAGATATTTGTTTTCCCTCCCCTCGTAATTAACTGGTTGAGCAGGGTTTGTGTAAACACTCCCAAAATGTTTTGCATAGTGAAGAAACAGGAGTCGCAGTGTTCTGCATGTTTTATCCACTGCAGATGCTACGTACTGTATTACATATGATACAACATCTGGTGGGGACAGGTTAGGTCTATAGGCAAGCTGGCATACATCGTCTCTGCCTCATGCTGCGATTGATGTTGCATGCATCACGTTTCTACACCGCAGTTTGCCGACTTGCACTTAAACTGGACCTTCTTAACCGGAGTAAGACATTCCATTTTATTTTATTTGCTCAGTTCTGTTATTCGGCTGCATATTTCGTGTCAATTTAGTGTGTTCATTTTCAAATTTAGTGTTAATTTTTGCAATCCCCGATGTCCTTGCGCCTGATGTAAATATTGTCATATATATGATTGACGGCATCTGCTTTCGCATTTGCCTGTCACTGTGGCTAGCCACAGGATACCTACGCCTACAGAAGGACCATGGGTGACTTGCGCTGCACCACCCACAGCTTCAACCACACACCTCATATCCAATGTAAAGCCGAAGGAATAAGATCCGGAGGCATGTGGATGGGAGCCAGGTTCCATCAACGGAGCCGACTCCTTCACAGGCATACGCAAGCACCCTGTATTTGGGGAATCAAGCGCACACAAAGCGGTGGGTGGACCGTAGTCCGCTCTACACTGAGTGCATGGAACCACTCTTCGAGCCTAGCACGACCACAAGGACTGTGCACCCCGTCTCCTCCAGCAACGACCAACTGTCTACTGGAGCCAGTATGAACGAGGTAGTGAGCAACAGACAGGTAGGCACCTTGTCAACATGCACATCAAGTGCAGCCATATCGTGTATGTAAAACAACAGCCAATCACTTGAAATGACATTATCATATAAAATATATCTATTAAAGCATACGACTATGCCGATATGACTGTTCGCTAAATTAGCATATGAAGTATGTTAGTTAGCCACGCAATGGCGATAACCACAAAATGACCAGAAGTTACTCAAAAATGCCTACAAATGCAATAAAATTAACGAAGATAACCACAATTAGCGTAAGCAGCGTAGCCAGTTAATAGGAGATTATTCAGGTAGGCAGAACAAAGCAAATAAACTGGAGTGAACTATATCCAGCTTAAAAAACCTAGTTTAAGCGTAAGTTGGTTTAGCCCAGCTGCGGTGAAGAAGCATCAAGAAGGCATCATATATATATATATATATATATATATAAAACTTGCCCACTGAACATTTTGCAGGGTGCCACAACCCATTAAAAACAACTGCAAAAAGGAGGAAAAGAGAGTCATGGGAAAAATGCGAAGGTCCATGTTTTCCCGGTTGCCGAAGCCGATTAAGATTGTTGACTGAAGGGACTCCACCCCGAGCCTTTGGTTATAAAGACCTGACCGGCCAGGCAGCTGGGCGAATACGATGACCGTCGACAGCCAGGTGGCTCATCCGCCTTCTTTGTGTTCGGTTGCATTCCACAGTGAAGCCGGTGGCCAACAAGATTTTTCATCCGCCTCCGTTAGGCACTCACCCCTAATTGCAAAAGTGGGTCGTCAGTGACCCTATAGCCAGTCCCATTGGCTTCGACACAGCGCCATACGAGCTCCTATGGTATTTGGTGGAGAACCAGGTGACCAGCCCAGAACTCCCCTCGCTCTGAGACGCTGCCGCTGATTGTCCGCGACTGCTTATACATCTCGCCTGCAAAGCTAACTAAACTTTTCGCAGGGTCCTTCTCAAGGAAGACATTCCCTAATCCGCAACCTGGGGATGCGCCCGGTAGCGTACAGCTCCGCCGCGGAAAATGTTGTCAAGATTTCTACCTTTCGAAAATTCGCCAGCTCACTTATACTGGCTCCAGGAGACAGTTGGACGCTGCTTGGATAGACATGATGCACTATCCTCACAACCATGCTCAGAGTGATCCCATACATATAGTATGGAGTGGGCCACGGCCCAGCCACCGACTTGTGTACAATGAACAATGATGTATGCCTGGTAAAAAAAAGTCGTTGCTTGACAAGCTCCACAGAATAGTGGGGTAAAAATACAATATCAAATGGTATGTATGTTTGAGCGTTTATCTAGCAGATACCTCACTGAATAATAGTAGCGTAAGTTGGAATTGTATACGAACGATGAGGCAACATGGAGACGGTTATAGTTGATGTGCTCCGTGAGAAAAATAAAAACGGGAATATTCACTTCTGTACTGCCTCAGGTTTATGTGACATGTTAATCTGGTTTGAAGGGATAATTAATCTATTCTCAAGTTGCACAGTTTCGACACCGAAGTGAAGGTGGGCCAACTGCAAGATCCAATCCTTTTTTGAAAATATCCAAGGTTTGAGAGGAAACAACTAAGTTTGGGAGAGAGTTCCAGTGTTAGCAAACCTGAAGAGAATAATAATTCTGTCGGCATTCCAGGCGGCTATACTGTGCACACAATTTTAGAGGGTTACCTATGAGATTGATGTTATGAGTGAATTTTAGCAAGTGACGCATACGTGATTAGTGCCACTCCATATTTGGTAGACTAATACGAGATCGTCGCGCAACCTTCGGTAGTGGCCACTGAAAACTTCCATTGACCTCAGCCTTTGCTGGTAGGACAAATTTCGTAGGCCCTTGATGGTCTTTTTGCCTTGTCTTGAGGTTTGTCTAGTACTCCTAAGTCGCGCTTCAACCAAGGTTGCGAAGGTTGGATGGCATGTTCAACGTAAGGGCGCACGTAAGAATTGTGCAGCATTGGGAAGATGGATGGGTCAAATCTCCCGAATGCTCTCCGCAGCAAGCCGACGTGCTGATTGCCTCTTTTCTCAGCTATCTCAGTCTGTTTTGAACAGTTGAGGTAACTCTGTAATAGCACTCCAAGGTCACGTTTCTGAGAGCTGGTCTGCATCCCTGTGCCTCAAGCAAATATGTCTAGTCATGTCTATGACGGAATTGCACAGTGCGACATCTGTCTACGCTGAATGGTAGGGCGTTCTGAACTGACCACTATAAAATCTTGTTAAGATCGCACTGGAGCCGTCCGTGGTCGTCCGGTCCTCTGATCATTCACCATAACTTGACGCCATCCGCGAAAATAGGAAATCGGAGGCCATTTATCTTGCTAGATGGTTTGTGAATCTCAAGAATAGACGAGGCGCTAGAACCGAGCCTTGTGTCATATCACACCCCACATTAATTGCATCGGACAGAGATACCCGAATGCTCTCCGCTGCAAGCCGACCTGCTTGCTGTCTCTCTTCACAGCTGCCTGTGACTGTTTTGAACAGTTAAGGACACTTGGAATGAGCACACCAAGGTCGCATTCTTGGGAACTTATTTGCAATACTTGTGACCCCAGCCTATACAAGTGGCCATGCCTATGGCGCAATTGGACAGCACGAGATTTTCCCAAATTGTACGGTAGTGTATTCAGAACTGACCAGCTTGAAGCCGTATTGAAGTCACGCTGGAGCTTTCGGTGCTCGTTCGGTTATCTGATCGCTCGCCATAACTTGATATCATCCGCGAAGAATAGGAAATCAAAATAATAATCATCGCTAGGTCGTTTAGGAAAATCAAAACTAGTCGGGAACCGTGCACCGAGCTTTGTCATACGCCGCGCTTCACCTCAATCGCGTCGTACAGAGATTCTCTTACCCTCAACTCTAAACCATGTTCGTGCAGGAAATTACCTATCCATCTC